CTACAGTGACTAAGCGTCAGACTGTAATGTAAAATATTGTCAATAATCTATCACCAGAATGGAGCAAAAACAATGGCTTGTAACCCAGTTACCGGTACTAGAACTTGAAGTGCTTGAAATAAGCGCCATTTGAAACAAAGTTGCTCAAATTTAACCACAAATAAGCGCCACCATGACATGAAAGTGTAACAAAGTGGCGCCTAATTGAAGACAAATACGGTAATAGGACCTTGATGCACGTCATTTTTTTTTTCGGATCAAGTTCGAAATGGCCGACTGGCGGCCATTTTGTTAAAGAATTCAGTTCTGGATCCGTATCCAAGACATGTCTGGATTGATCAAGTTCAAACTTCACAAACACATGGTACATCACGTCACAAATAGATATGTGCATTTGTTTCATGATCCGCTTAACAATAGCTGAATGATGGCCATTTTAAGGCCGAAAATGCATCAAAATCACGTATTTTCACAATTCCGGAACCGGATCTCAGTCATGCATGGATGGATTTTGTTCAGATTTAGTACAGTGTGTTGTACATATGCAGGTGCATTTCGGTCATGATCTGCTTTGAATGTATATGTCACTCAAATATGAACGGAACGGGGACAAGTCATTGACAATGACTTGTTATTTTGTGATTTGATCAAATTGATGGCCATTTTCTCTAAAATCCTAAAGTCGCAGTCTGTAAATGTGTCCAGAACTGTTTCTCAGAGATGAACAGGGCGATTATTTAAACTCTACCATGATCAAGCATATTAGATTACAGGTGCATGTAATATTTTTTTTCGGATTCAAACAAAAATGGAAGATTGGCAGCCATTTTGTTTTCATTCATTTCTATGCTGATTCATCACTAATATTTCATTTGATTAAGTTGAAAGGTATTACTCAAGTACTATACTCATTGGTAGGATACCGTCTTATAGGTCCCCTTTTGGACTGAAACGTGGGCTTGTGAGTTGATCTCCAAGGGTGCATCTTTGCGTGTTGGTACATTTATATCCATGCTTGGACCTATCAAGCTCAAACTTTCTACATACATCGGACAATATGCACATGCATTGATTCATGATCCTATTTAAAATTAAAATTAAACATTTTCACCATTGCAGAACTAGACCTCAGTTGTGTGTGGATGGATTTTTAATACATTAAACTTAGTACATACATTAAACAAAATGGGAACTTGATGTACCGTTAAAGTCCTATTATAAACCGTGGTTTATATTACAATGTAGCAATTTAAAAATTGGGATCGAAAGCTCAAGTTCGAGGTGCGGTTTCTATTACGTACATATTGCAATCACTAAATGGACGTGGTCATTTTTTTTCCACAACACATGCACAAAACAAACAATACACCGTACAATCTCTTGAATAGGTGTCGAGGAAGAGTGAAAGGCCTTATTTAGGTTCTAAAATAGGCGTTACGAAATGTTGAAAAATTACAGTCAATCAAAAAAAATTTCCACATGATACAAAAAATACTCAGTATTTTTAATGTAATATGCATTTATTTTTTTTATTTTCTTGGTAACGAAAAGTATATTCTAACAGAAGTTTCAAATAAAAACGCAAATGCACTGCTTAGTAGCAAATGATCAGCTCGATCCGGCCATGCTGCGGGTCACAAGTGAATAACTTACTTGTTTTCGAAGTGTTGATATTGGTGATTATTATTTAGTAGTGATTACAATAACGCACGAAAAGTAAAATTCGTTGAATTGTTATAAAATGCAAGTAAAATTCAACTTAGTTTCCCCATAAGCGAATGATTTCAGTTACATGTAAACAGCC